TATTGAAGTATGTCCAACCTTTGAGTGAATGAATTGTTACTGTTGGTCCTCCCATGATCAAACAGCCTGATGTGGGACTGGTCCTGGACATCGTTATCAATCTAATGGGAGGAGGGCTCCACTCAAGTCCCTCTGTCCAGGAGCCAGAACAAAGTTTCAAATCTTTTCTTTAATCACCAAAATAGTCACTTTGCTTCTCTTTATTACAGTTATCCAGAACAAACCACAGTTCTTCCAAAAACTCAAAAATAACTTGCTTCTTCTAAACAAACTGATTCTTTAAACAGGTGGGAAAAAAAACAGAAATGAAGACAACAATTTAAGGGTGATATATTGAGAAGTGTAGATCTACAAAGGGATTTGGGTTCTTGTACACTGTCAGTGAAAGCAGACAGGCAGGTGCAGCAAGCAGTTAGAAACATAGAAACATAGAAGATAGGAGCAGGAGGAGGCCATTCAGCCCTTTCACCACAATGGTGGCTGATTGTCCAACTCAATAGCCTAATCCTGCTTTCTCCCCATAACCTTTGATCCCATTTGCTCCAAGTGCTATATCTAGTCGCCTCTTGAATACATTCAATGTTTTGACATTAACTACTTCCTGTGGTAATGAGTTCCACAGGCTCACCACTCTTTGGGTGAAGAAATGTCTCCTCATCTCCGTCCTAAATGGTCTACCCCAAATCCTCAGGCTGTGAGGAAGAAGTGGAGGGATTTTAGGCTATCGGCATGGGGGATACAGGTGTACAGGGACTGGATGACGATGGTGAAGATGAGGCTTTGGGGGCCTGGGAATTGTAATTCTGGGAGGAGGTGGAGGGTGTGGGTAGTATCCTGAACGTAGGTGGAGTGTTCCTTGACCGGGGTGGGGTGGGGGAAAAGACAGAGTTGAGGTAAGCGGAGATAAATTCAGTGGGGCAGGAGCAGGCAGAGACGATGAGTTGGCTGGGACAGTCGGGTTTGTGGATTTTGGGAAGGAGGTAGAAATGGGTGGTGCGGGGTTGGGTAAAGATGAGGTTGGAGGTTGTGGGTGGGAGGTCACCTGAGGTGATGAGGTTTTGGATGGTCTGGGAGATGATGGTCAGGGGTGGGGTCATGATCAAGGGGGTGGTAGGAGGAGGTGTCGGAGAGTTGGCGCCTGGCCTCGGCGATGTAGAGGTCAGTGTGCCATACTACAACTGCGCCTCCCTTGTCCGCGGGTTTTATGGTGAGTTTGGGATTGGAGCGGAGGGAGCGGAGGGCTGCACGTTCCGTGGGAAAGAGGTTGGAGTGGGTGAGGGGGGTGGAGAGGTTGAGGCGATCGATGTCTTGGCGGCAGTTGGAGATGAAGAGGTTGAGGGAGGGTAGGAGGCCTTGGGGTGGTGTCCAGGAGGAGGGGATGTGTTGGAGGCGGGAGAAGGGGTGAGTAGAAGGAGTTTAGACTCGTGGTTAAAGAAATAAGCGTGAGGCGGAGGTGGCGGAAAAACTGTTCAACATCTAAGCATGAATGAAATTCATTGATGTGTGGGAAGAGGGGAATCAAGGTGAGTCCTTTACTGAGGACTGACCGTTCGTCCTCAGTGATGGGGGGAGGGGGGGAGGTCTGGGGGGATGGTGAAGAGCCAGCACAACTTGGGGCTGGGCATGGCTGTAGAGCCTCATCCGCTCCACACTCCACCACCAACCCCACCACACCTGGCACCTTTCCCTGCAACTGCAGGAGGTGCTGCAACTGCAGGAGGTGCTACACCTGCCCTCTCACCTCTGCCCAAGGCCCCAAACAATCTTTCCAAATCTGACAGGGATTCACCTGTACGTCCTCCAACCTGGTCTACTGTATCCGTTGCTCCCGATGTGGTCTCCTCTACATCGGTGGGACCAAGTGCAGACTCGGTGACTGATTCGTGGAGCATCTGTGCTCTGTACGCGATAATCAACAACACCTCCCAGTCACGAACCATTTCAACTCCCCCTCCCCCTCCCCCTGTGACATGTCCATCCTGGGCCTCCTCTAGTGTCACAATGATGCCACCTGCAAACTGGAGGAGCAGCACCTCATATTCCGCCTCAGGAGCCTACAGCCCAATGGCCTAAACATAGAATTCACCAGTTTTAAAATCTCCCCACCCCCAGCCTCATCCAAGTCCAACCCTCCCTCTCATCCCCGCCTCCATGACCTGACACAACCAGTCCATCTTCTTACCCACCTTCTGCCCCCTGACCAATCCCCACTACCCCCTACCTGCATCCACCTATCGCCCTCCCCCCTCCCTTCCCCCAGTCCCACACCCCTCCCTCTATTTATTTCCCCGCTCCCTTCCCCCTCCCAGTCCTGATGAAGGGTCCCGACCCAAAACAGCGACTCTCCTGCTCCTCTGATGCTGCCTGGCCTGCTGTGTTCCTCCAGCTCCACACTGTATTGACTCTGACTCCAGCATCTATAGTTCTTGCTGTCTTCAAATAATGTTGATCTTGCTTTGTGCACCTCCTGTGCAACCATAACTTTGTAGGCTCACTCTGTCTAAGCTCCCTATGATCTGTATGTCCTTGTTTGCTGTGATCTGCCTGTACTGCATGCAAAACAAGACTTTTCACTGTACTTAGGTACATGATTACAATAAATCAAATCAAAACAAAGGTCCTGGGGAAAAGACCTTGTCTATTCACCCTGTCCATGCCCCTCATGATTTTATAAACTCTATAAAATCACTCCTTCAATCTCCGACGCTCCATGGAAAATAGCCCCAGCCTATTTGGCCTCTCCCTGTACCCCAAACCCTCCAATCCTGGCAGCAGCCTTGTAAATCTTTTCTGCACCCTTTCAAGTTAACAATATTTTTCCTATAGCAGGGAGATGAGAACTTAATGCAGTATTCTAAAAGTGGCCTAACCAACGTCCTGTACAGCCACAACATGACCCCCCCACCTCCTATACTCAATGACCTGATCAGCGAAGGCAAGTGTGCCAAACACCTTCTTCATTAGAGATAGTAGGAACTGCAGATGCTGGAGAATCCGAGACAACAAGGTGCAGGGCTGGATGAACACAGCAGGCCAAGCAGCATCATAGGAGCAGAGAGGCTGAAGTTTCGGGCCTAGACCCTTCATCAGACCCCTCACCTTAAACTTGTGCCCTCTAGTTTTCAATTCCCCATCCCTGGGAAAAAGACTATATGCATTCATCCTATCTATGCCCCTCATAATTTTATACACCTCAGTAAGGTCACCCCTCAATCTCCTACATTCGAAGGAATAAAGTCCTATCCTGGCCAACATCTCCCTATAACTCAGGCCTACTGGTCCTGGCAACGGCCTCATAAATCTTCTTTGCACACTTTCTAGTTTAATTGTGTCTTTTCTATAACAGGGTGACCAAAACTGTACACAATACTCCAAGTGTGGCCTCAACAACAACTTATACAACTGTAATATAATGCCCCAACTCCTATACTCAAGAAAAACAAAAACAGAACTTGCTGGAATAGCTCGGCAGGTCTGGCAGCATCTGTGAAGGAAAATACAAGAGTTAATGGTTCGGGTCTGGTGACCCTTCCTATACTCAAGGTCTCGAACAATGAATGCCAGCATGCTGAATGCCTTCTTCACCACCCTGTCTACCTGTAACACCACCTTCAATGAACTATGTACTTGTATTCCCAGATCCCTCTGTTCCACAGCAATCCTCAGTACTTTACCATTTACTGTACAAGTCTTACCTTGGTTTGACTTTCCAAAGTGCAACACCTGACACTTATCTGTATAGAACTGCATTTGCCAATCCTCAGCCCACTTCCTTATCTGATCAAGATCCCTCTGTAATTTTTGCTAAGCTTCCTCACTGTCAACGATACCTCCTAATTTTGTAACATCTGCAAACTTACTAATCATGCCTTGTTCATTCACATCCAGATCATTTATATAAATAATAAATAACAAAGGTCCCAGTACTGATCCCTGTGGCACACCGCTAGTCACAGGCCTCCAGTCCAAGAAACAACCTTCAACCCTCACCCTCTGCTTCCTACCACCGAGCCAATTTTGAGTCTGAGGAAGGGTCACCAGACCCGAAACGTTAACTCTGTTTTCTCCTTCACAGATGTTGCCAGACCTGCTGAGCTTTTCCAGCAACTTCTGTTTTTGTTCCAATTTTGAGTCCAGTTAGCTACCTCTCCCTGGATCCCATGTGGCCTAACCCTCATGACTAGCCTACCGTGCATGACCTTGTCAAACAAGCTCTCAAGGACCCAGGCCTGAGGTGCCATATAAATGCAAATCTGGCTATTTTCGGTGAGTAGCGCCTGTTTTCAGGTCTGGGCATTGCAAATACAATGAACACTCTAGAGTAGGTCAAAAGAAAAGTCAGGTTCCGCCGAGATTTGAACTCGGATCGCTGGATTCAGAGTCCAGAGTGCTAACCATTACACCACGGAACCAGAACTGCTCTGCCTGCCGCTGGGAGGCGTATTTCAGGAAATCAGCCCGCCTTCCCCATCCACCTTAGCAACAGGAATTTTATTGGTCAGTGCCCACAGATATATGGGAAGCCCTCAGAGACAGAGAAATAATTATACAGAAGGAATTCGCCGAAAAATTCGTTTGTGATTGACGTGACAATAGTCCCAGTATCGGAATAAATAAAAGTAATTTGGTGAGATGTAAAAAAAATACCAAACCAGGAAGTGATGTAACCACCTAGGGTAACCAAAGTGTGTAATCTTTCACCTCCGAGTTATTTCCCTTCCTGAACAGTTTATTTAAAATCTAATTATCATTTTAGACATTGGAGGCTGACGGGAAAAGGTTATTATTCTTAAACAAATAAATAAATAAAGCGGAGGCTGGCGCTTCGGAATTGCTGTGACGTCACATCCCCTCCCCAGCTGTCACAGAAACAGTCGAAAGTCGAATGGATTTCATTTCTTTTGCCGAGGGTTTCAATTTGAAGAAGGTTCCGCTCCTTCTAGTGGGAAAAACACTTAGATTGGAATTTTCTTCATGGAAGAAGGCGGGAATCGGTGTGGAAGTGACGCAAACGTCGTGGGCGGGGATTCCAACGCCGGAAGTGACAGTTGCCGTGGAGACGTCAAGATGGCGGCGGAGGACGAGAGCGAGTGGGATGTTTGGATGTTGGATTCTCTGAGACTGTGAGTGCGATGGTGCCCGGGATCCAGCCCCTGCCCGGACCAGGCGCTTGCCAACTTCTCTTGGACTGATTGCTTTGTCGTTTTAACCTTCTCTGAATTTTGTCTCCCTGACTGTTTGGGACTCTATAGGACACCCCCAGCAACGTGAAAGTTTTTGTCTTTAGGTTCTACCCATTCGGCCGTATTTGAGCCGTATCATCCTTCCTCACTGCAGTAATTGATTCCTTGATCAATTTTACAACAGCGTCTCCTCTTTTACGCCACTCCTCCCTTCTCACCGACAGATTTTATACCATCGAGCTGCCAGTCCCTCCCTCGACCAAGTCTTCGTGATTACAATGATATTTGAGTTGGTGCGATCAATGGGGTACTGGGGATGGACAGTATCCTGGGTGGGAATCAGGGAAATAAGGGTGTTCTGGAAGGTCTTGTGCTGTCTGTCTGGTCCCTGGCATGAGGGAGCACCTAAAGTCATCTGCTTCAGACTCCGGCTGATGCTCACAAGTCGTGCTGTGGTGTAGACACTCAAGATTATATAGTGGCATTGCCTTGAGTTAAAGCAGGATTGTGGGATGATGCTGCGAAAGGAAATGATGGCTTTAGATGCTTATTCTCTCTTAGACTGAGCATTTTGATCACTTTTCCTTATGTATTTCAGTGTCACATTTTATCTGTTATTTACTCTTCTGGAGCAGTTTGTTTTATATATTAAATATAAGTTGCGATTGAAGTGATTCTTTGAAATGTTTTACATTACGATACTCTGTCTGTTTCTATCAGGTACAATGACCTTCATGTGTTTGAGCTTCGGGAACCAACACGAGTTATAGAATGGATTCAGGATAGAAGTATGTTGGTTTGTGTCTTTCTCTGTCTGGGTGTGTTTATATAACAGTCCATTTTCAAAAACATTTGATCTTCACTGAGGTTTGAAAGAGTTAAATTACAAAAATGGAATATGGAAACTAGGTTTGTATTCCTCTGATTTAGAAGATGAGTGATGATTAATCAAAATGTTTAAGGTGATTTAAGGATTTGATAAATTAGAGGTAGCAAAATGATTTTCTCTGGTGAGAGTCCAGACTAAAGAAATATTAGAGTTTTTAAAAGAAGAATTAGTGTTAACTCAAAACGTTAACTGTATTTCACTTTCCGCAGATGCTGAGTTTCTCCAGCACAGTCTGTTTTAATTTCAGATCTCAAGCATTCGCAGTATGTAGAGATTTTTTTACTTCTGATTTGTGGTCTGAAACAGGAAAAGAACTGTTTTAACGGCCAGTAAAAACTTCTGTGGTTCCACACAAACCTACAGCATTGTGTGGAACCACAGAACCACATAAGCATTATTTGCTTATGTTTCACAGAGAGAACATCATGTTTAAAATCAAAACAAAAATCTACCAGCAGCAAATTATCATCAATCAACCCAGCTTTGTCTGGGAGCAGACTTTTCCAGTAATAAAAGCAACTGGGATCATAACAAGGAGCTGAGTGATATCTTGTTCCTGAGTATTATGATCCAAATGTTTGGTTGTACCTCCTGATATCAACAGGGAAAAACAGGGTAGATAAAGATAAACTATTCCCACTGGTTGGGGATTCTAGAACTAGGGCCAGACTGTTCAGGAGAGATGTTAACAAGAGCTTGCACACAAAGGGTGGTAGAGCTTGGAACTCTTTAACAAATGGCAGCTGATGCAAGATTGTTGTTAATTTTAAATCTGAGTTAGATACCATTTTTGTTAAGTAAATGTATTAAGGGATATCAGACAAAGGCAGGTATGTGGAGTTAGCCCGCAGATCAGCCATTGTCTTATTGAATGGTGGAACAGGCTAAAGGGGCTGAATGATCTATTTTTAATCCTATGTTCCAGATCACATGGAATATAGGGAGAACTAGCCATGTGGATACATAACTGGCTTGAAGGTAGGAGACAGAGGGTGGTGGTGGAGGGTTGCTTTTCACACTGGAGACCTGTGACTAGCTGTGTGCTGCAAGGATTGGTGCTGGTTCAACTGCTTCTCAGCATTTATATAAATGATTTGGATATGAATGTAGGAGGTATGGTTAGTAAGTTTGCAGTTAATACCAAAATTGTTGACGTAGTGGACAGCGAGAAAGGCTACCTCAGAGTACAAGGGGATTTTGACCAGATGGGCTGAGGAATGACAGATGGAGTTTAATTTAGATAAATGTGAGGTGCTGCATTTTGGAAAGGCAAATCAGGGCAGAACTTATACACTTAATGATAGGGTCCTGGGGAGTGTTGCCGAACAGAGACCTTGGAGTGCAGGTTCATAGTTCCTTGAAAGTAGAGTTGCAGGTAGACAGGACAGTGAAGGAGGTGTTTGGTATGTTTGCCTTTATTGGACAGTGCATTGAGTATAGGAGTTGGAAGGCCATGTTGTGGCTGTATAGGACATTGGTTAGGCCACTTTTAGAATACTACATTCAATTCTCGTCAAAGATATTGTGAAACTTGAAAGGGTTCAGAAAAGCCTTATAAGGATATTGTCGGGTTTGGAGGGTTTGAGCTATAGGGACAGGCTGAATAGATTGGAGCTATTTTCCCTGGAGTATTGGAGTCTGAGGGGGTGACTGTATAGAGGTTTATAAAATCATGAGGGGCATGGATAGGTGAACAGCCAAGGCCTTTTTGCCAGGGTAGGGGAGTCCAAAATTAGAGGGTATAGGTTTAAGGTGAGAGAGTTAAGATTTAAAAGGGAACTAAGGGGCAACTTTTTCATGCAGAGGGTAGTGCGTGTATGGAATAAGCTGCCAGAGGAAGTAATGGAGGCCGATACAATAACATTTAAAAGGAATAGGAAGGGTTTAGAGGGATATGGGCCAAATGCTCGCAAATGGGACTACATTAATTTAGGATATCTGGTTGGCATGGACGAGTTGAACTGAAGGGTCTGTTTCCATGCTGTACCTGTCTGTGATTTTATTTGCTGCTTGGTTTAGTGTCCACATTTCTTAGTTCTTTTTAATGAAAGGTCTTGAGGTGTTAGTGTTACTATGGCGGTGTGCATGCATTGTCTGGTGTAATACCAGAGTTGTTTGGTACTTTTGATTCTCGTCCTTCCCTGTTTGGTAGGTATCTGCATCGCCGGATACAATGTGGGGAAGAAAAATGAAATCTTGGAGCTTTCCCTCCCTGAGAAACTCTGCGCTAAAGGAAACCAGGTGATTGTGTAATTGAAGAGTGAATAAATTTGAGGAGGAGGTTTTTAATTACCAATGGATTGAAAGGTTATGAAGAGCTGGCAAGAAAGAGGAGTTGAGGCCGAGATGAGATCAACCATGATTGATATCATATCATATACCATATCAAATGATGGCACAGGCTTGAGGGGCTGAATGGTCTACACCTGTTTCTCATTCTTATGGATGGTCCCACATTTCATTTCTGCCCCATGTGAGTAATTGATTCAACCCTTAATATCTGTTCTCAGGGTCAGCAAGGGTCATGAATGCACTATGCGAGACCCACCCTCCCAGGAGGGTGAAGGTCTGACAGCTGATCCTTGTTCATCTTATCTGGCAATATCTGACACCTTCATCTCTGTTGCTGTTACTGTTTCCTCACTGTTGGGATTCCCTCAGAGTGAGAGGGTGGGGGGAGAATCAGGAAAAGGAGTTTCCCTCTGAGTTTTACTCTGTTTTTTCACCTGCAGGGACTTTGCCCAGAAAGAGACTTCACGGTGAAACATGGCTGCTTCTCACAGAGGCCCATTTACCAATTGAAGCACGTTGTTGGAACCAGGTAGTTCTTGAGTCTGAGTGACAGGAATACTGTCTGTGGAGACTGCTGGGGAATGCAATGATCAAGACCCTTTTTACAAGTTTAGGGCCCACTCTCACATGGACTGCTGGTTTAGTAATTGTTTCTACATGTTCCCTCTTCTGTTTGTGCTTTACAAATTAATGTTTACATAGAAAATGACTATAAAAATCTGGAATTAAGAGTCATGTGTACTGAGACACAGTGAAAAGTGTTATTTTGTGTGCTACACAGGCAGATCGTACCATACAAAGTACATCAGGGTGGCAGAACAGAGTGCAGAATACAGTGTTACAGCCGCAGAGAAAGAGATCAGAATTAACATTTGACAGGTCCATTCAAAAGTCTGATAACAGCAGGGAAGAAGCTGTTCTTGAATCTGTTCATGCATGTGTTCAAACTTTTATATCTACTACCGACGGAAGAGGCTGGAAGAGCTCATAACCGGGGTGGGAGGGGTCTTTGATTATGTTGGACGCTTTCCCGAGGCAGTGGGAAGTATAGATGGAACGAATGGATGGAAGGCTGGTTTGCGTGATGGACTGGGCTGTGTTCATGACTCTGTAATTTCTTGCGGTCTTGGGAACTGCAGTTGCCATACCAAGCTGTGATGCATCTAGACAGGATGGTTTCTATGGTGCATCTATGGAAATTGGTAAGTATCTTTGCGGACATGCTGAATTTCCTTAGCCTCATGAAGAAGTAGAGACGTTGTTGTGTTTTCTTGACTGTTGTGTCAATGTGGGTGGACCAGGACAGATTGTTGGTGATGGTCACTCCCAGGAACTTGACACTCTTGACCATCTCCACCTCGGCTCCATTAGTGCAGACAGGGGCAATGACCATGAATCCATTGTTGGAAAAACCCATTTGGTTCACTAATGTCCTTTTGGGAGGGAAACTGCCATCCTTACCTGGTCTGGCCTACATGTGACTCCAGACCCAGGGCAACAGCGTTGAGTCTCAACTGCTGTCTGGGCAATAAATGCTGGCCTGGCCAGCGACGTCCTCATCCTCTGAATGAATAAAAAGAAAATTCAGTTTTAAAAATATATTCTTTTCACCTTTGAACTGGAAATCAAAATTCAATAATATTATGATCACTGATACCAAGAGGTACCTTCAGTATGAGACCATTAATTAATCCTGTTATTTTACAATGCCAGCTCTATACAGCCAGCTCTGTGTTTGGTTCCATTATTATCCTCAATGTAAACGTGATTCAGGGGAAGCTGAATAAACTCATAGGGCAGAAGGGAATAGAAGAACATGGTAAGATGAAGAGGGGTTTGGAGGAAGCTTGTATTGAGCATAAGTGCTGGTTTTGCCAAATTCATCTTTATCTATGTTGTAAATGTTGTGCTTAGGAGCTTCATTCTTTCCCTACAGCCTGTTGGTGAGCAGTGGACCTCCTGATGCCTTGCTACAGGTTTGGCGCTTGGCAACAGATGAAAGCGGTTAGTGAATCATCACATCATGCTCCTAATCCTGTCGTGCAGGGGTTTACAGTGAGGGTCTGAGTACATCTCTCTGAGCCTTTCCCATACTCTTAGCTCTTCACTGGCATGGAGAGAGCAGACAGAGCCTTAAATCCTGGGGCCAGCTGCATCCTTGACTGACACCTCCAGAAAATGTGCTCTCCCTTCAGTGTAGTAATTTTGATAAGTGTCTTAACTCTGTTTACCTACTTTAATTCCACATGCTGATATTCTTGCCCAACAAAAGCCTATCCATCTAAGCCAGCATTTTATTACATGTCACTAGCCTTTGAGAAGGTGGTGCTTAATTGCCTTCTTGAAAAGCTGCAGTCCAACCTGCTATAAGAAAGATGTTAAACTTTGAAAGGGTTCAGAAAGGATTTACCAGGATGTTGCCATGGTTTGGAGGGTTTGAGCTACAGGGAGAGGCTGAATAAGTTGGGGCTATTTTCCCTGGAGTATTAGTGGCTGACGGGTGACGATATAGAGGTTTACAAAACCATGAGGGGCATGGATAGGGTGAATAGTCAAGGTCTTTTCCGCAGAATAGGGGAGTCCAAAACTAGGTTTAAGGTGAGAGGTGAAAGATTTAAAAGGGACAACTTTTTCACGCAGAGGGTGGTGAGTGCATGGAATGAGCTGCTAGAGGAAGTGGTGGAGGCTGGTACAATTACAACATTCGAAAGGCATCTGGATGGGTACTTGAATAGGAAGGGTTTAGAGGGATATGGGCCAAATGCTGGCAAATGGGACTAGATCAGATTAGGATGTCTGTTTGGAATAGACAAGTTGGACCAAAGAGTATGTTTCTGCCCTGTACATCTCTATGACTCTATGTGCCCACGATACCCTTAGGGAGGGAATTCCAGGATTTTGACCCATTGACACTGAAGAAACAGTGATATATTTCCAAGTCAGGATGGTGTGTGGCTTGGAGGGGAACTTGCAGGGGATGGTGTTCCAATGTATCTGCTGCCCTTGTCCTTCTAGATGGAAGTGGTCGCGGGTTTTGGAGATGCTGTTGACGAATGCTGTTGAGATAATCAGAGTCAGTGGCTCAGCATCTGAGCTTTTCAGTTCAATGTTAAGCCCTTCTTGACTGTGCATGGGTCAGGAAACCATTCTGTCCATTGTATCTTTGCTAGGCCTTTGAAAGAGCTGTCCAGTTAACACCATTTCCTGTAGCCATGCGTTCTTTCCCAGGTACTGGTGAGACCACATTTCAGAAACTGTGCACAATTTTTTGGCCTCCATTTTTAAGGAAGGATGTAAATATTTTGGAGGAGGTTTACTCGATTGCTGCCTGGAGTGAGTGAATGGGTTGGTTGATGAGGAAAGGTTGGACAGACTGGGCTTGTTTCCACTGGAGGTTAGAGAATGAGGTGTGATTTGATTGAAGTGTATTCAGATCCCGAATGATCTTGACAAGGTGGATGCGAAAAGGGTCCACCTGGGGGCATGGTTTTAAAATTAGGGGGAACCCATTTAGGCCAAAGATCAAGAGAAACTTTTTCTCCAAAGATTGTGCTCCTTTGGAACTCTGACACAGAAGGCGGTGGAGTCTTTGAATGCTTTTAAGATGGAGGTGGAGAGATTCTTGTCTGGCAGGGAATTGAGGATTATTGAAGGTGAACGGCAGTATGGGATTCGAAACAATCAGACCAGCTGTGATCTTGTTGAATGGTGGAGCAGGCTTGACGGGCTGAATGGCCTTCTCCTGCACTTGTTCCTTGTGTTGGCATGTAATCCCATGCCCAGCTTGTTGCTGTGTGGAAGAGATTGCTGGAGGGTCTGCCTATCTGATTTCCCTAGAAATCACTTGCTGTTAATTCAGTCACCACCAGTGGGCCTCTGTGGTCTGAGGATCTCTTGCCAGTGGCGTTTCCTAGAATAGAACCTTAGAACACAGGCGGCCAATTTCTCCATGAAGCCAGGCCTGGCTCTTTCAAAGAGCTATCTAATTAATCTCATTCCACTTGCTGTTTCCCCATTATCTTGTTTTTTCCATCTCCACTATTCCTCCAATTCCCTTTTGAAAGTTCCCATTGAATTTGCTCCCATTGCCCTTTCAGGTAACGCATTTCATAACTCGCTGAGTCAAAGAAGCAGAGGGAGGATAAGAATTTTTAGCAACCACATCATATACTTGTCCTCTGACAACTGAAACCAGTTCCTCCTCATTTTACACCAATAAACATTTTATTAACTCTGAATACTTCAGTACATCTTCATCGTAGTCTTCTCTGCTCAATTCATTTAAACTATAAGTAAAGTGAAAGTAAAGCTCCATTGACACTGTCCCCATCAGAGAGCAATTCCAGCTTCTCCAGATGGTTCATGTTAACAGAAGTGTCTCATATCTCAAATTTCCACTACACCCTTCCCAAGGCCTTAACACCCTTCCTAAAGTGTGGTGCCTAGAGCTGGGCACAATCCTCTTGCAGAGGCCAGCTGAAAGGTCTTGGCTTTCATAATCTCTGCCTTCATTGATAAATGATGGGGAGGTGCAGGCGTTGGACTGAGGTGGGCAAAGTCAGAAGTCACATGACACCAGGTTATAGTGCAACTTCTCCTGACAAAGGAGGAGCACTCCGAAAATTTGTGATTTCAAAAAATTTTCAAGTAAACCTGTTGAACTATACCTGGTGTCATGTGACTTCTGACTTTGTCCACTTAAAAAACCAAGGACCTGTAGATTATTTTGACAGCCTGCTTGACTTGTCCCAATAGTTTCAAGAATATGACTGTGTACCTCCCGGTGCGCTCTGGTCCTTCAAAAATTGCACCCATTTGTTTACAGTGGCTGTTGTCACTATCCCATCCAGAATGAATGAGTTTGTGCTTCAGCTTTCTAACTGGTTTGGATCTGAGTTTACCCCCATAGTTTATTTGACCTAAAAGTAAATTGGTTTGATTGCGTTTCACCCCAGGTTTATTTTATGCAATTGCCTGCCTGGAATATTGTATCCAATTCTGCAGAGGAGTTTATTACAGTGATTGCAGGATGAGATCTTTCAGTTAATGTAAGAGGCTGGAGAGTCTGTGATTGTTCAATTTGGAGCAGAGACGATTAAATAAGGGATGATTTAATCAAGGTGCTCAAAATCATGAGGACTTTTGAAAGAATAAATCGGGAGAAACTACTTCCAGTGGCAGGAGGATTGGAAATTTTGGAGGTGGGGTGGGACAGATTAAAGATGATTAACATGAAAACTGGAAGGTAGAGGAGGAGAATTTTACTTTTAACGCATGGAGTTATGATCTGGACTGCATTTCCTGAGATGTGGAAGCAGGATCTCCATTTCAAAAGGGAATTAGATAAATATTTGAATTGAATAGAAAACCTTACCAAGGTATTGATGTTCCAGGTGCAGTCTCACCAGTGGCGATAATGTCCTTCTATTTCAGTAACTGTCTGTTGTCCTCCCTGTGACAGATACCATCACCTTGGTGGACTCTATCCAGCACCAGTCTCCAGGCAGCCAGTGGTCAAAAATCTCTGCTGTCTGCTCTCCGACCCCTCAGGTCCTCCATGGTTCAAAGGTTAGCGACCTCGCAATCCAGGAAATTGCATCACACAAAGTGCTTTTTACCCCAGGTCGGTCTACTGTTTCTCTCTCTCAAAAATTCTTTCTCACTGGCACCGTGCCTCCAAATAGCATCTGTTTGATAATTACTTCTGGAGCATAACTCCTTGGGCAAGGGTGGAGATGAGCAGGACTTCCTGACCTAAGGCCACCATATACCAGGGAAAACTGCTGAAGCCCAACTCGACCTGAATGCGGAATCAAGTGGGAGCAAATGATGCAGGAGTTGGAAGGATTGTTATGGTGATCCTGGTTAGCATGGTGGAGGGTTTGGAATAAGACCAGGGAAGGCTTCTTCCACCAGCCCTTGCAGTCAGACTTTGCAGCACAAAAAATTGGATGTGATCCTTGCACTGGGAACAAGATTCTGAGGTAGATAAATGGGAGACAAAATGGAACACAATGCTCTTAGTCTCGGAGGAGTATTTATTTATGCTAGTCACTGAATATGTCAGGAATGTGACCGTGGGGGTGAATGGAAAGGGGTTTGGGTTCTGGGATTTGGGAATGAAATGGAAGTGGATTGAATCCATTGGCAATGTGTGGAGTGAGAGTGAATGGTAAGGGGTTTGGGTCCATTGGTAATGAATAGAGTAGGAGTGAGGGAGTTGATGAGGAGTGACATGATGGCTGTGGGTTAGATTGGTTATGGTTGAACACTTCAAGCTAGATCCTAAATAACAGGAGCATGTGTTGATTCTCTCCTCAGGGCTAGCTGACTGTGAGCCAATCAGTGAGCTAGAGTTTCTTGATCATTCCACCTTTTCTTTCTGCTCCCTGAATGGCCGCCTGTGGTTGGCTGATAGCCGTCAGCGCTCCAGTCTGATTGGGCACTCAGATGTGCCTGTGAGCAACGAGGACGGCTACCATTGGACAATGGGATGGGCGCCTGGGCACTCCAAGGTGGCCAGGCTGTGCTGGGACGGTCGAGTGGTGCTGACTGATTATCGAGACTTGAGCAGGACCCTCAGCCTGACCAAACTGGCAATACCCACCACTATCCCAAACAGTGACTGTCTGAGCTTGACATGGGCACCCTGTCTACAGGACCATCTCGCAGTGTCTGGTATGTTGGTGTTTGATTGTGGGGGGTGGGGGGAAGAACTGTGTGTGGCTTGGGGTGGGAGTGGTGGGGAGGAGAGAGGCCTACCTGTTTTATAGGAGCCATGGAAACCTTCACTCCAGCATGTTCCATTACTTATGGCTGATCTTAACTCCGTTTTATTCAGAGATAGTAGGAACTGCAGATGCTGGAAAATCTGAGATAACAAGGTGTAGAGCTGGATGAACACAGCAGGCCAAGCAGCATCATAGGAGCAGGAAAGCTGACTTTTCGGGTGTAGACCCTTCATCAGAAATGAAGTTTTATTCAGCTTGGTTTGGTAACTCTTAATGTGCTGGTTTAATGCAAATAACTGATCTAAGTTTTTAGATTTTCAAATTAAGTTCCAGCTTGAGCCTTTCAGGGAGGAGTCTTCCAAATTCACCCCTCCCCTGTAAGGGAGGAAGCCTTTTCTGGTGCCAATCCTGGCTTGAACGTTAAGGTTCTGTCCCCTTGTTCAGCACTCCAGTGGACCAGAGGAAGTAGTATCTCTGTATTTAAATCCTTTCCTTGGTGTGGGTATAAATCTGAGGTGATTTAAATAAGCCCAGTATGTCTCAGCACAGAAAAGTGGGTGCCAGATGGGGCATCACTTGTGCTCTGAGGCTGAGGAGAAAGGCTCACTGTGACTAACTGGAGGGTAGCTGGGATGGGGATACTTCTTGCTATATCCAACTGCTCCATGCTGAAATCCCATTCACCCATTAGCCACCTTGGCTCTAGTAACTCCTTGCTTTAATAAGTCTTCACTTGTTTTCAGGCCCCTCCTTGGCCTTGTCCCTCCCTATCTCTGCAATCTCCCACAGCCCTCCAAGATCTCTGAACACCTCCAAGAGAGATCTTCCGGCAGATGACTAAACACTAGATTGAGGCACATGTTGAGGGGGACAGAAGGTCAGCAGAGAAAATTCCAGAGCTTGGGGTCCAGGCAGCTGAGGGGAGAGCTGCCAATAATGGAGTGATTAAAACTGGGAATGCCCAAGTGGCCAGAATTAGCAGAATACAAAGATCTCAAAGGGTTATTGGGCTAGAGGAAATTCCAGAGAGGAAGGAATTGAAAAGAAGAGCAGTTTGTTGACTTTAACTGTCCTATGTCAGGCATTAGCCACTTGATGCAGTGAAGGCAGGATGTAGGCATAATGCTGGAGAGGGGGCAGGAGCAATGAGGGAGATATCCATTGACATGGGCATTTGATGTTTCTGCGCAGCTACTGAGATTATGTTCCTTTCTAAAGGTTTTAATGGGACTGTTCACATATATGACACCAGCTCGTGGTTGGCAAAATCCAGTGGAGTGGAGCCAACCTTCATCCACCAAGGTCACAGTGTCACCCCGGAGTTTGATCAAGAGAAGCCTGTGGTCACCAGACATGCTTGGCACCCCTGGAGACAACGGGTCCTGCTCTCAGCTGCAGACGATGGCTCCTTCCATGTCTGGGATTGGACCGATCAGAGATCCTCTGATAATTATGCTGCTGGATCGAGTTTCGTCTCATCAGTCTCTCCTTCCCAAGAGAAACCCCACACCACTGCATGTCTCCTCCAGCAAACTCACTGTGTCTCACTCATTGGTGACTCTGATGCTAGCTCAAGTTCAACCAGGGGTGATAGTTACGTGTGACCTGTGAGTAATAACATTGTAATCGGTCACCTATAACAGCCCAGTCCCCTTGCAATGCATCACAACCCGATATAAATAAGGCTGTCACCATGTGACCGACTGCCCCCTTGATACTATGGCCCTGTCACTGTGTGACTGACTGACCCTTTGTTGAAAGTGGAGGGACTCCTGTTGGTGCTTGTTGCAGTGTTTTGAGAGACTGTAGATCTCCCTGTTAAAGGATTCTTTGCGGATGTTGGCAGTATTGTAAGTTACTTATGATCGGAAAGCTGCTGTCACTATTGAGGCTTGAAGAATAATTACATGGAGGAGATATCAAGGATTAGGTGCGAAGATACTAGCAAGCGTCTTCATAAAAGTTTTTAATGTTTTAACTACTAAAATTGGTGTACACCATTGCAAGTGAAAAAATGTTCTCTTTATTCTTTGTTTATTAATGCTTTTTAAAACCAGCTATCAATTGTTGGTAACTTGGCACAAATTATAAATATTTATTTTTGTGATTATTCGATTTTCGGCTGTTAATTTTGTATCAGGTTTCCAGCCTTATATAAAGCAGATGGTATTCTAACACCTCCATTGTGCAGGTACATTGAAGGTTTTACATTTGTCATTATGAGAATGAACCTGAATTGAAACATGAACTTCATTAATCAGGGGGTGATTTGCCACCTATTTGTCAGTGACGTTTAGAGCAGAAACTCTATCGCGTTGTTTTGTTTTCGGAATGTTAAATTGAGTCTTTGAGCTATAGTGAAAAGTCATAGTCAAAATTTTAACTCTCTTTCTCCATAGTGCCTCCAGTGGAGTTTCTCCTGTACTTTGTATTTGGGCTGCTGTGAATTATTTCCAGTTTTGTGTATTTTCTGAAATTGTTGCTTGTGTTCTTTACCTCCCACCACTCTGGGAATTGAGGACACCCTCTCTGAAAACACCACACTGCCACATTGGGCATTTCCAATGGAAAGTTTGCTTCCTTCAGGGAGGTCTGTGATGTAAAAGTAGGCTCACTTTTATCTCAGACACTGTTCTGAACCACATTTCCCCAACATGGACTCACCATAATTACCTAGGCTTCTTGTGTCATAGAAATCTACAGCACCATAAAACGTCCTTCGGCCCATTCAGTCTGTGCTGGTCAAAAACAACACCTAACTATTCTAATCCCATTTTCCAGTACTTGGCCCATAGCCTTGTATGCCTTGACATTGCATGTCCACAGTGCCTCAGGGGAGGCGATGGCCTAGTGGTATTATCGCTGGACTGTTAATCCAGAGACGCAGATAACGTTCTGGGGACCTGGGTTCAAATCCCACGACAGCAGATGGTGAAATTTGAATTCAATAAATATCTGGAATTAAGAATCTAATGATGACTGTGAATCTATTGTCAAGTGTTAGGAAAAACCCATCAGGTTCACTAATGTCCTTTAGGGAAGGAAATGGCCATCCTTACCTGGTTTGGCCTACGTGTGACTCCAGACCCACAGCAATGCAGTCAACTCTTAACTACCCAGCCAGTGATGCCCTTATCCCGTGAATGAATTCAGAAAAAACTTAGAATATTCTGAGGTTTTCTGCCTCTCCCACCCTTGCAGTCAGTGAAGTCCAGGCATGACATAGTCATACTCATGGAATCGTACCTTACACACAATGTCCCAGACACCACCATCACCATCACCATCCCCATATATGTCCTGTCCCATGGGCAGGACAGACCCAACAGAGGTGGCAGCACAGTGGTATACAGTTGGGAAGAGTTGCCCTGGGCAACACTCAAAGTTGACTCTGGACCTCATGAAGTCTCATGGCTTCAGGTTAAAGATGCGCAAGGAAACCTCCTGCTGATTACCATGTACCGTCCTCCCTCAGCTGATGAATTGGCACTCCTCCATGTTGAACTACACTGAGGATGGCAAGGGCGCAGAATGGGTGGGGGATTTCAATGCCCACTACCAAGAGTGGCTCAGCAGCAGTACTACACATCGAGCTGGTCGGGTCCTAAAGGACACTGCTGCTAGACTGGGTCTATGGCAGGTGCTGAGGGAACCAACAAGAGGGAAAGATATACCTGATCTCATCCTCACCAATCTCCTCACAGATATATCTGTCCATGACAGTACAGGTAGGAGGGACTACCACACATTCATTGGTCATGGATACTTCCATCTTGTGGTGTGGTGCTAATGGGTCAGATTCATACAAATCTAGCAACTCAAAACTGGCATCCATTAGGTACTGAGGGCCATCGGCTGCAGTAGTAGAATCGTACCCCAGCGCAATCTGCAACCTCATGGGCCAACATATCCCCTGCTCAACCATTACTGTCAAGCCAGGAGCAGCACCAGGCATACCTGAAGGTGATATGTCAACCTGGAGAAACTACCAAACAGCACAAGCAGCAAGTGACAGAGCTAAACAATTCCACAACCAATGAACAGATCTATAACTCTGCAGTCCTGCCACATTCAATTGTGAATAGTGGTGGACAATTAAACAACTCAGTGGAGGAGGAGGGTCCACAAATATCCTCATCCTCAATGATGGGGGAGCCCAGCACATCAATGGAAAAGCAAAGGCTGAAGCATTTGCAACAATCTTCAGCCAGAAGTGCTGAGTGAAAGATCCATTTGGCATAGGAATCAGGGGGTAAACTCTGTACTGGCTGGAGTTATACCGGGCACATAGGAAGATGGTTGTGGTTGTTGGAGATCAATCATCTCAGCTCCAAGACATCTCTGCAGTTCCTCAGGGTAGTGTCCTACGCTCAACCATCATCAGCTGCTTCCTTCCAGTGGCAATACTTGTTGACAACGATTACTTTCTAACAGCACTACAGGTCTACGTAGAGCAAACAGACTGCAGTTTTAAGAAGACAGAAGACCACTCACCATGTTCTCACGTCAGTTTGGGATGGATGATAAATGGCAGTGACACCTACATCCCATGAACAAATTAAAATAGCTCCCTTCTCTGTCAAAAATCTAGGTTTATGCCCAAAACTAAGCTTATATATTTGCTATGCAGCATACAGGAAGACAGTCAGTGTTCACAAGTGGGATTAATATTATAAAACAAGATATTAGCATACTTTTAAAATTGACTGGCTTGCTGTGGGTCTTTTTTCATTTATTTGTTCATGGATGTAGGCATTGCCAACTGGGCCAGCATTTGTTGCACATCTCAAATTACCCAGAGGGTAGTTAAGAGTCAGCCACATTGCCAGTATGTAGGCCAGACCACGTAAGGATAGTAGATTTTCTTCTCTAAAGGCCATTAGTGAACTAGATGGATTTTTATAATAATCGATCATCACGGAGTCTAGCTTTCAATTCTAGATTTACACACACACAGACCTTTTTCTCTTGGACAGAGGGATACATATCCAACCATTTTCTCACCAACGCGTGCGCGCACACACAATACACTCACACACATGCACGCATGACCTCATACAGACATGATGTTCCTAGCCTCATGGTCTTTTTCTTACATGTGCACAATACTCACATACTCTCACTCAGTCTCACATGTACTTAATCTTACATAGATACACAGACTCACACACAATCATACACACAGTCACACTTACACGTACATGGGCAGTCATGTTCAAACTTACATGTAATCACATGCAACTTAGACATGTACTAACTTTCTCACATTTACATACCTACATAGTACACCTGCAGAATCCTGAACACACTCAAGTACACACAGGAATTTCTGCATGCACGTACGTTATCTCACACACCCTTCCATGCACTCATGTTCAAATATTAACAAACTTCAAACACACATTCATGTACACATATATTTACTCACACACCCTCCAACACAATCATACAATGCACTTACATACACTCATATTTTCACATGCATACTACACTCTCTCACACAATATTGTTATTGGCTGCTTATTGGTTTGAGGGTGACGTTTACCACGGTCATCAGTTTCTGCCATCGATCTTTAAGTGACTGAGAAGGCTATTTCTTGATCCACATATCCTTGGACAGATGAGGCACGGTGTTCCAGGAAGTTAAAAGCTGGATTTACTTTCTTTCCCTTCCTTCTCTGTCATTGCCCTACGTCAGTAGGACATTGAGACTGATGCAGCTGAATGGACAAATTGTTGCTTCCCAGTCATTACTGACAATGCTGCTGTGTTTCAAATGAGAGATTTGGGATGTCATTGTGGTGATTTCTTTGTCCTTAGAAGATGGACATTTAACAGCCAGGAATGATGGCTAACAGATTTGAGGTGTGTCAGCTCGATGATCATTGATTTACAGCAGTTTTGACTGAAATATTTGTGGAGCAGGTTTCAGGAAGGACCTTAGCATTAATTCAATGGTCCTCCCACTGAATCCAGAAACCGCAGTGAAAGCTTTGCTGATGGAATTTCCCTGTGTTATGGATGCACTGTCCAGGTCTCAGCAGCATGGGAGTGTGCTCTGTAGACTAGGCCTTCTGTTGAATAACAGCAAAGACCTCTTCAAAACACTCACTGCTGTAGTTTGTTGAAAGCTGAGATGGTGCACCTAACCCAGTGTTGGGTCTCTTTGTCAATGGTGGCCTTTGGAGCGAGACGGCTGCCAAGATCTAGGAAGTGTTCAACATATTCCCGAATCTCTCCTTCAACATATTCGGGAGGTGGAATGTTTGGCTGACCAGCTCTGAGCTAATATTCACACTCAAATATCTCCATGTATCATAGCCCCACACAAAGACACACATACACATACACATATACACACACCCCCCCAAAGCTCGCACGTGCACGCACTCCCCTCCAATGCTCGCAGGTGCATGTGCACATACACTCTCCTCCGATGCTCACTCACTCACTCTCTCAAATCTCTCTCTCAACCCCACAACTCTCACATACTTGTCCAAAATACTCACTCACAAACCCAAAACTCTCACCCTCAATCCTAACACACACCGAAAACTCTCTCACACCCTCCAACTCTTGTGCGCACACATTCCCCCAATTTGAACACAACATACAAACACACAGCTCCCAACTCTAACACAGACACTCACTCTCATGTGGCCCAACATTCTCCTTCATGCACTGGAACTTGGAGGGCTATTTCTAAATGGAGGTCACTTCTAGAAGGCAGTGAAAGAATTGCTCTTCTGTCAACCTTATTATGGAGATGTGACTAAAAGATATTTTCCAATACCTCACTGATGCTGAAAAGACAGAAAGCAATTTGTTCCCAGAACTTTGAGATACCACACTCATACAGACAAGCAAAGGTTCCCATCCCATCAAGGTACACAAGGTCAGAGTAACCACTGGGCCCAGCCTGGATGATCCAGGGTCCATACCAACCTTTAGGTTTCAGGGGCATCAGATTGATGTAAACACCCAGGTTAGTCCGATTGCGTTTGTGAAAGAAACAGCAGGATTTCCCTGCTGGGTGTGTATATAGGAGCCAGGACATCTTGACCTCTGTGTCAGTCTTTCTAATTGTTGACCTTCTGAATGGAATAGTGACTGGGTTTGGGAGACGGAAACTCGCCACACTCCCCTGACAACCGGCCTTCGATTCTGGCAGTCCCTTGGCCAAGCGGACAATTTCAAAGTGGCCAGGGTCTAGGCTCACTGCTTCCATTCTGTGATGCCCGCGTGTTCGGGCATTGCAGTACAGCAGATGGTGGCTGTCAGTGATGGTGATCTCTGCCAGCTCACACTCCAGTGCCTGGTACTTAGTTATTGGTTCTGCTAGCTTCCAGTTGTCTCCACTGTCGTCACTGAAGATATAGAAAGAGTGGGGGTGTGTGAAGTACTTAGGTGGGATCAGACAGCACCTCCGGCAGATGATGTAGGCATAGGCAGGGACTATGAGCCTCCCTTGCTGTGTTTGCAAACCGTGACCGGGTCCCACCGCGAAGGTGGCCCATTTGCAGAGCTGGCTGCCGAGGACCGTGTCGGTCAGGTCCGTCAGCTCTGTCCAACTATGTCCAGCATCTTGGCTCAGCACGTAGCACAGCCTGGCCCAGTTTTTGCCCCACCAGATCTGCTGCTCCTCCGTGACACCGTCTTTGACACAGATGAAGAACAAGTAAATCACTCCACGTTTCCGCTCATACACCAGGCATGGGTTCATTGTCCGATACCCAGGCAGCATAGCCGTCTTCAGTGGTACCATGTCCTCCCACTGGGAACCAGAAACACAAGAAGATCAGACACAGCTCTTTCCACAGAAAGTGCACAGGCAAAGTGGGCCAAAGCAGTCAGAAATGAGCTCAAAGGAGTATGGGTGGGTGGGGGATACAGTTGGTTAATCTGTAACAGCCTACTCTGTCATCATAGACTCTGTTGCAATGTTCTAATCAGTGTCACTTGTATAAAGCAACCCTTCCACAATAAACTCTTCCAGCATCTGCCACTCACCCACATTTCTGTCAAATTCACAATTCCCTGAAGATACCCAAACCCAGTGATCAGTCTTCCAGAGATCTTGCCCTCTCATTCTTAACCTCCAGCCTCAAATCTTTCTCTTCCCAGGCCAATCAATCTCAGCTTCCATTCTATATCTCACAAATTCCATCTCCCAATTTCTCTTTTCTCCAATATCTGTCTCTCCTCACTCCAATCTCTCCTTTCTGATCTCTCTCTCCAATCTCCCCCTCTCTGCAATCTCTCCCTCTCCCCTCTCCAATATCCTTCTCCATGCAATCTCTCTCTCCTCACTTCTCTAATCTCTCTTTCTTCACTGATCTCTCTCTCCTCTCTGGTCTCTTTCTGCCTCTCTCCAATCTCTCTCTCCTCTCCATTCTCTCTTCCTCTCTCTGATCTCTCTTCTCCCTTCCAGTGATCAGTGCTCCTAATTCCCAGCCCCCTCATCCTCCTGGCATTATTTAATCTTGTTATTGGTGGGGTGGGGCAGGGAAGGCATTTATGTGAGGTGATGTGGGGGAATGTGTAGGGGGTGCTGTCTATGGGGTAAACAGGGATTGAAACACTATTGTGTCACAGACAAGTTGTTAAATTAGTATTTGTATGTATCAACTGACTTCCCATGCTATTGCCCAAGGACAGTTTGCAATCTGGAACCACAATTGGGATTTTTAATGTGAGGTCATTGCTCAGGTTTAATCCAAGGGGCACTAACCTGAAACACTATTCGAAGAAGATTGGCATTTATTGCCATTCTCAGTTATCCTGAGAAGGTGGTGGTGAGCCTCCATTTAGATGAACTGCAGAAGAACGGAACAATTTTGCTAAGGCTAGTTCAAGAAGGACAAGAGTCACACACACTGTGTGTCACTTCATGGTGTTAAACTTGAGTCACAGAAGGCCAGATAGGGCAAGGGGTAGGAACCTGCCTAAGCTGTGGGGTATGAACTGAGCCAGGCTGATATTACTTTTTATGACAAAGACGAGGGATTTTTTTTTGTTGTGCTGGCCCAGAGATGTAGATTCCTAGAAATTGATTTACTAATTACTCCAGTAGTCAGTCAGAGTATTATTACCGCATTTTTGGACATTTTACTGAGCTAAGAAATTTCAGGGTACATGTTGGAAATTTTAAAAGATGTAGAATCAGCTGATAAGGTAAGCATTTTCTGCTAGTCTCGAATCAGCCTTGAAAAGGTTATGGTGAGATGACTGAGTGTCCTGCAAGGCCACTTCCGAACCACTCAAAATGTTAGATACACATATTGGCCCAGGCAAGGGAAGGGAATAGCAGCCTTCCTTCCCTGAAAGAATTTAGTAAACCGGGTTGCATCTTACAACAATGTGGAGCTTTACGGTCACCTTCACTGAGATTATATTTGTATTTGCAGCTTTTGAAAATAGAATTCAATTCTCAAACTGTCCACAGTGGGATGTGCACCCAGGCTGAATCAACCAATAACAAATGTTTGACTTGATGCCAGGAAACTTCATGGGGTCAATGTTGAGGACTTCCACGGTGGCTCCTTCCCCAACTGTATACCACTGTACCACCAGCTCTGCTGGGTCTGTCCTGCCTGTGGGACAGGAAATATTCAGGGATGGTAATGGGACATTGAACGTAGATCAGTTCAGCACAGTACAGGCCCTTCGGCCCACAATGTTGTGCCGACCTGTTATCCTACTCTAAGATCAAACTACCCTGCATAGCCTACATTTCACTATCATCCATGTGCCTATCCAAGAGTCGCTTAAATGTCCCTAATGTATCTGACAAGAAGGTATATTCTAAAGTCCATTTTTTCACTTCATTTTGAAAAATACTTGTACCGTTTTGAACTGTGCAAGACACTGTCTCAACTGTGGATGATGCATACCTTCACTGATCCTCCGATAAACGAGCCCTTCCTCATCACCAGAAGCTTTGCATCCACATCCTGGAATGACATTCGTTCCTCTGCAAAGGCTAAAAAAATGTTGTGCTCCTTGAGGTAGAGGAGTGAGGGGATGCGGTATACAGTCTCCTTCCCCTTCTCAAACAAAATCGTTCGGCTCGGAAGTTGGTCAGCTGGCATAATTACTGCCCCTACAACATTAAAAATGGAGAAAGAATCTATTTTCTGCATTTTCAGAATGTGTCACTAAGCAAATAAAATGATGCAGGATACTGCTTAACCATTCTTAACGAGAAGGCAGATCATCAGCTTCTGCTCTTTGACTGCAACTGCTATTATTAGCAGGAAAGCTCTCGGGAACACACAGCATGTGCAGGGCTATCTGCGCCCAAGCCAGTTTACCACAGCAACAAAGACAACTTCACGTTGCAGTGTGCTGCATAAGGCTGGCGCCGAGGGAGAGCCACGCTGTCGGAGGGTCGGTGCTGAGGGAGCGCCGCGCTGTCGGAGGGTC